GGGGGGGGGGGCGGTGGTGGAAGAATTTAGAAATGATGACCTGCAGCTATATTTACAACATGACGTACTGCAGACCTTTAACCTGATCAATAATTTATATATGATATATATAGGTGAAGTGCTATACATTTAACAAAGAATCAAATCAGCTGCAAAAAAATGACACTTTACAATAACAAAGCAGCATAATACTCACAAATATTCTAGATGTGGAAGACCAGAGAAAGCATCATCTTTGATTGTGGTCAAAGAATTTGCATTTATAAGCCTGTAAAAGAAGAAGCTCCAATCAAGGAGTCATTAGTAATCATGAGTCTCTTCTCTTCTGTGGCACATTTGCTAACTCCACATTACTATGACATTCAATGTGCATTATTAATAATCCATCTGCTTTTGTGTTGTGTTGCATTGTCTAAACAACTATAAGCCCTTAAATGTCAATTACTAATGATCAATTTCACATGACAAATTGTACTTACAACAGCTGAAGAGAAGACATAAGGGAAAACATCCCCTCTGTAATTTCAGCAATTGATCCATTTACCAAGCTCCTGTTGGGAGAAGGAAAGATGAGTCAAACTCGGACTGGGACCTCTCAACACAGACACATCAAGTGCCAACTCTGCAGGGGAGCGCAGAATAGCAAGTAGATCTGTCTCCCAGAATGCAGCATTGATTGCCTTATGTTTTACTGAAGCTCTGATCTCACACTGTCTGAAGTCATAAGATTTATTACTCACAATGAGGTAATCTCTTTCGGTATAGTCCGTGGGATCTGTGAAGTACCGACACAGATGATCGTCTCCTTGGAGCAGGAGCATCCTGAAGGACATCTGAAATTCCTTTTAGATTCAGCTGCTTCATAAATGCACACAAGCACAAAACCGGCCAATAGCCACTGCCTAGTAGGCGTCATGTTGCTTCCTGAACATTAATAATAGTTGATAAGACCGTGGCCAGTGCTAGCAGCAGCTTCTGTTATCCGCCTGGTGACATCAAAATGCAGCACTATGTGGAAAACCCTGACACAGGCTGATACGGCTGCAGCTGCGTCCAGGAGGGTTGACTTGGTCTGAGACGGGGGTGGGGTAGGAGTGGGGGATCTGAATTCATCAATTTGTAAATAATCACAATTGTACTGTTTTAATGTGGAAAGATTAAAAAAAAAATGCATGTAGCCTACATGTATGTTATAATTGTTTAAGTTGAAAATGAGTAATTTTTAAAACTGATTTTCAATGTGGGGAAATAACTACAACAGCAAAACTAAGACATATTAAGTAACTGTTCAGCACCATGGAGAGCGTTAGTAGTTTTACATGTACGTTGGTCATACGGAGCTTATCACGTGACACCTTCTGTTTACTTCATATCATTAGTAGAGAAACCCCCATAGAGGGGAAAATCCATTGCCATTTAGCTTCAATGATAAATAGATTAGGACATAAATATTATAATTGCTCTTTCAAGTACCATGGACACTCACCTTGTCATGTAGGTAGTTAGTCTACCCATAAACTATTCAGATTAATTGGGATAACTGATGCAATATTTTCAGAAACCAACAGAACTGTTCTCTGAGTGTATTAAGAGCTCTATCCTGGACCAGTACAATCTTACACAGTGTGGTCTATCTGATGTTACATGAATGTACCACTAGAGGGAGCCTGTTGACAAGTAATGTTGGAAAATAGTGTTACCGTGGAGAATTACAGCATTGCTGACAAAGGAAAAATTTAATTTGCTGTTCCTTGTAGTGGTTTCAAGTTGTTCTGTCTCATTTTTCATTTCTTAAAGCTGCTTTGTATTTACATTATTCTGGTAGCATTTTGTTTGTAGAAAAAAAAGAGACTTTGCCATGAATGTTATTCACAATTTAAGCAATTTAAAGTCTGTTTAGTCATTTTATTTGTGTTACGCTGGTCACACAAGTCTAGTCTCCTGTCTGGTTCATAACTTTGAGGTACACCATTACATTTGAGGCTTTGTATTTGCACAGTTTATTATCATGTTTATATGAAATGAACTTCTTCACAACATTTACTCTCTTTTAAATGGAATGTACTTTCATTATTCATAGAAAGAAACATTCACTAAACAATAGGGTTGTTAGTTGTTGCAGCAGGGCCTAACAAGGTGCTGACCTTTGCTGGGGGATCACTAGTCTATGAGCATGAGTGAAACCGAATATCCAATGCCAAAAGGGAGCAACCGTACATGACTGCCATTGCTGGCATAATTCATGGCAGCTCTGCATCTAGCATTGCTGTTTTTAGGCTAGAGTATCCCTGAAACACTCAGGACACGTGCAAGAAAACAGATGAGGCCACAGCAAATAGTATTTCTTTCTAGACAGCCATCTAGATGTGCTTAAGGAACTGGACTAACCTATGTAGAAAGGTTTTTTTCTACATTTAGCCTGTGTCAAATAAGCTCATATTAAGCCCAGCCATTTGTCAGTGTCAACATTACTTCACAGTTATGAGTTTTCCCTTTAGCATGAATCCCCTTTTCGGCATTTATAAGCCATACACACTTTGTTTTATCACACTAATGTGGTTGTAAGTTCATCCATCCATTATCTATACCCATTATTCCTGAATACGGTTGTGGGGGTGGCTGGAGCCAGTCACAGCTGACATTGGCTGAGAGGCAGGGTCCACCCTAGACAGTTCACCAGTCTATCGCAGGGGTGACATGTAGACAACTACCAAACACACTCACTCCTACAGGCAATTTAGAGTCACAAATCAACCTAAGATAGAACCTATGCAGGCACAGGGAAAACATGCAAACTCCTGTCGGCCAGGACTTGAACCCAGAACCTTCTTGCTGTGAGGTGACAGCACTAACCAGTGCTCCACTGTGCCACCCAGCTAGTAACTAAAGTTATCAAATACATGTAATGGAGTACAATATTTTTTTTGTCTCTAAAACGTAGTGAAGTCGAAGTATGAAATAGGATGAAATGAAAACATTAAAGTCAGGGACAGACACCTCAAAGCTTTACTTAAGTACAGTATTTGAGTAAATGTAGTTCATTAGTTTCCACCACTGGAGGCTGCTGTATTGATTGATCAAGAATGACAAATGCATTAGTAATATATAATGGGAAAAAGACAGCGCTACATTCATGGTGAGAAGCAGAGCCTTAAAGACAGTAAGAGGTTGGAGTGGATGGATTCCTGCATGAACCCTATTTTTTTTTTAACAAAGAACATTTTACAACCTTAACAATGTGTTTATTAAATGCATTGATGACAACAAGCCACACTCTTTTTCAAAATCTAACCAGGTTGATTTTATGCCTAAACCTAAAAATCATTTGTAATTGTTTATGATGATGATAAAGGTACAGTGGAACAGTCTCACTGAGCCTATGATGGTTACCATAGCGATCTGGTAAGTGTGCTGCTGGAAGGATCCTGCGGGTCGTACTCTAAGTAAATTATAGTATTACAATATTATCATTTAAAATTTGTTGCTAAATGCTGTAAAAGTCTATAACATTCCCAGCGGCAGCTTTATCAAGCAGCTTCTGCCTAGCCCCATGCGGACCCATGTCATCTCTGTGAGTGGCATACAACTGTCTAACCAATAAGTCACTGTAAAAATCAGCACTTGTTAACACTGGAAAAATGTGCTGCGTACTGTTCAACATATCCTCCACACTCAAAGGGTTATTTTTAGAGCAGCTACATATTGTGTATCAATTCTCAGTGGTGACCCTGTTCTGCATCAACATCTGATGTTTGTGTGTGTGTGTGTGTGTGAGTGTGTGTGAGGGAGAGAGTGAGGGTTGAAAAGGTCTTCATTTGGACTGTTTGTGGTGTTGATTAATGGTGCTCATGATTTAACACCTGCTGTTTTAATGTAGCCACGGTAAGAAACTGATCTCAACATGCTTGCGTGAGCAGTGTCCCGATTTTAAATAGCTGTCTAAATTTATCAGCTTTGTAGAGGTCACTTCAACTTGTCTGTGTGTTTATGGTTTTTCACAGAAAGAGAAAAACAAAACTTTAGCAGCTGAGATATTGAGGGAATAAATATCAATCTCCTGTCATTTTCCGCATGAGATTAGCTCAACAGCACTGTCACAGCATATGGTAGGTAGGTACTTTATATCCACAAAGAGGTGCTTGTACAATCATTTATTGAGACTTATGAAAGCAACTTACTGTAACTTGATCACTTATGCAAAGGTTCAGTTAGGAGGCTTAACTAGAAAATGAGATATTTCATAATATTAAAGCACTGTTTTGTGACTTAAAAGTAATTATAGGTGCAATGCCAGTAGTTTCTAAGCTGTGGGTAAGGCCCTTCTACAGAGTCACAAGATGAATCTGAGTTGGTTGAAAAGGTTAGTAATCACTGACTTTATTTTAACAGTGAGTTGTACTCAGATTTAATCAGAGCTTAATGTAGAGTCTGAAGTAACTACAGTAGAAACTAAAGCTGCCAAATGACTGTAGTAAACTGTTGTAAAAAGCATAATGCCTCCCTCTAAACAGTGAAATAGAAGTACATGGACACTCTCGAGAAAAATACAAGTATCTCAAAACTGTACCTAAGTAAGGTGCTTTGATAAATGTACTTGTTTCCACCACTGTTCAGAAAGAGATTATTTCTAAGAGGGTACACCACATAACTGACACTAAGGGTAAGAGTGGGATCTGAGCCTGACAAAGGGTTTATTCTGGTGGCCTCTGTCCTTGATGCCACTGCCAGTGTGCCCTCCACAAGGAGCAAATGTTGGCCCAGCCCCTCCCTGCTGCATACCATCAGCCTGGGCCCCGGTCCAGGAACAACACGTATGCCTTCAACACTCAGGCAGAGGTCCAGTAACTGGATTATTATCATTATTCAAGACCATCTGATTCGGCATTGATAGCAAACCTCCTTATCAACCACTCCATTTACTGCTGTCCGCCCTTCAGCGGGGCCTACACTGGCCCTGTGGCTGGAAGGTGGAAAGAGCTGTAGACAGAAAAGGGAAGACCAACATCAGTCTTCTACTACATCTGCAAATCAATGGATGGACATCTAGTAAACCTTTTTAGCTGACTTTCATTGGCTGGTGGTGAATATCTTTCACACCTTACCATTTTTGGAGCAGTCCCTAAAGTCATTAATTCCAGTCAGTAGTAAAATACGTAAACTTTGTCCAGGAAAGTAGCCCTGGACATCACAATATATGAGATTACACATATTACAGAGTATTAATATTGTGAGCCCTGCCAACTGTTCAGACACACATCATGTAGAGCTCATAGGACTTTTCTTGCACCTTCACATGGAACAGTGCTTTTATTTTGTGTATTGTGTAACTTAGTTTTTGAAAGGCACTATAGAAATAAAGTTTACTCACTTAATTACTACTGCAGAGTTACTCTGTTACTATTTTAAATTTGCTCTAACTTTAACTTTAATTCAAGTAACCTACATGCTCAGACTTGGAAAATCAAGCCAGATTTATTTAAATAGCTCTTTTCAAGACAAAAGTTACAAAGTGCTTCTTAGTACAAGCTCTGGATATCACATAAGCAGCATAGTAACAAAGACCAGAGCAACAGAACACAATCAACATTTGCATTTAACATCATCAGCAGCAGCAGCAACAGCAAAACATTAATAATGTGAGATAAGTAACAGTTGATATGAGGTTACTGTGGCACCTAATGTTGTCTGGAGCCAGTTTAATGTACCTGTATGGAGAGGAGCTGTTCTTCCTGGAAAGGTGCTGAATCTTGGCAGTTCTGGACTCCTTGAACAAAAAGCCTGAATGTAAAACGTTCAGTGTTATGTCCACACTAGAGAGAAATCATCATTGGATATTCCCTGAAAAAAAAGCCCCCCCTTCACTCACTCACTCACTCACTCACTCACCCACACCGCCCTCGCTCTGCGTCCTCCTGTCTTTCCAGCTTGCAGAGTTTTCCGTCCTGTGTCGGGATAACATCGTAAACGAGGACCACCTGACGGTAAGACTGGACTAAATGGAAGCAGCAGAGGAAACTCTCATTTACCGAGATGACACCAGACTTCACAGGAAGCTGCTCCCAGAGGACAAGGACAAGGGACACGCCATCGAGACAAAAAGCGACGAGTCCAACTATGTGGATCTGGACATGAAACCGGAGGGTGCAAA